TATGAAAAATTTATTACAATTAAAAGATAGAAAGAAAAATCGTTGTAATAAGATCATCTCATGCGTGAAACTTCTCATCTTGATAAATGAGAGTTAACTTGTTTCCGGATTGTGAAACTTGTGATCTCAGTTCATTCGGGGTTGCCGCGTAAATGACAAAATTTCTGGAAATGACAGCGCGTATCGGTGCTGGAGGGTTGTTCGGTCGCGTTTCGGGTTCGGTTAGTTAACCATCGGTACACACCACGACGATGGAACGTCGCGAGCGTTCAGTCCAATCCGCCGAAAACGGACGAGGGGTGGCGTTAACGCGTCCCAACCGATTCGCCGCCGCTTCGCACACGTCGACTCGGTGCATACGCAAATGCCGCGGAACGGCAGAAACGTCCGACTTACGGAGGATTAACGTCACGCCTTGGCAGAGTCCACCCGTGGGACCGATGGGAAACATATGTACTTGCCCGTCTTACATATGCGTGTGCTTTCCGCACTGGAAATGATAAAGGCGCTTCGTATTTTCGCGCATCTGACATTAGAATGTATTTGATATTAGAATAAAAGCTCTACATTAATATGAAAATAAGTGAATATGTAAGAGAATCAAAATTATATTAATTATTGAAATTATATCATTCATGTTTGCCACGTGTAATTTGTCATTCATTATTCAAAATTCGGACGAACAAACGAAAACAACAATCACATGGATAATGGCATGCGAGACCTTCAAATCGAATATTGCAGCGGATTACAATCTACGAAAATCGAATGTTCGCGAAATCGATCCGCGCTCGCAACGCTCAATCCCGTTGAAATGGAATTCCAAGACGAGCGAAGAAATATCTTCGACCACATGAGTCGCGCGCGCACTTTCCAGGCGCCTATTTTTATTTTGCGAAAATGGAAGTTTACTGCCTTCCGCGGGATAAGAGAGAAGAATTCTCCTTTGTCTTTTTATGGTCGGAAAGTGGTGGCGGCCGCGGCTGAGTCCGAGACACCCAAGACGGCATCGCCGCCGTGCAGCCGCGGCCGTCTTCTTCTTGAACGAAGAAGTACGGTCGGATAATAACGAGTTTCGTTGTCGTCCCTTTCGCCCTGTGCATAGCGCGAGTCGTAAAGTCAGCCGATGTTTACCCCTCCCCTCCGCCGCCGCCCCGTCCGTTCAACCGTTTTTCTTCCACGGCGATGTGGACGATCGTGTCAAATTTTTATTGCGCCAACAAGCCTGTCTCACACGGGGTCTCGCAACCGCCTCGCCTTATACGGAACGACGAGGAAAGAGGGAGAGGGACTTTACTTCATGCCTCGGGATCGCATCCCTCATTGGCATCGACAAATCGCGAAGGATAACGATGATGATTGTATAAATGTGATAACGAGTCCGATCAAATACAGACGAGCACAGACAGAGAGACAAAAATTATTCAGATTTGTATGATACAAGTCACATTAAAATATATATACTTAAGTATATTGACAAAGTGAATAAATGCAGTAAGAAATTTGAATAATAGAACACCCTGTGAATGATTTTGCAACAGAGCAAGAATACTCTGAATTACGCCGCATTTTGACAACTCAGATTAATGAAATTCTTTTCAACCTCAATTGATTAGCATCAATAAACTCATGTGTGAAATTTTTGGTAGATATTAACAATAAGAGATACTTGACAAATCGCTTACATAAAGCTTTTGTGCGCGACGAATATGATTCCTTCGACACTGCATTTTTGTCTTCATAAATCTCTCAATGGTGTGAGATAGTTACCATAAAAATATTTGAAAGATATCTATAAGCTTTAAATGTAATGCTTAATAAACATTACTAATGATATTGCTAATATAGTCACATAAATTATTATGATCGTGAAATAATTCATACATTTACAGGCGCTCGAAACAGCTTACGAAGTTATAGCAACAGCGGAGCAAACGTTTCCAATTGGTTCAAAAGGGAAAACTTGCAATATCGAGAAGAGAGAGGTATTATTTTGTATCACATAAAGAAAAATATTCAATTGCGCAATATCTTTGAATCAAACAACTGTACAAATTTATAAACAAAAAACCGCTGACACGAAATTTCCACCCGCTGCATATTTCTTTTATCTTTTTTTGATTGGCAAAATCAATTCCATGCGTAAATTTTACTATTGTCCTCGTAAATTTGTCCAATCTATTCTCTGATACAATTGACTATATTTTCGTTGGAAAGGTTACGACGAGCTGGTTGAGTCCAGGAATTCCTACGGGAAATCTACCCGCGACGCCTCGGAGCTGCATGACATAATTCCGGAAGAACACAAAGTTCCTGGCTCGGATAAAACGGAAGATCCGTGAAACTATTATTTTTAATGATAATTGCTTCAGATAAACCATTTCTCTCATCAATATATGCAATAAAACTTAAATAATAAAAAAAAATAATAAGGAATTATTGAATTGATAAATAAAGAGGATAAATAAATTAATATTCATCTAACAAGTTTTAAAATTGTGCATAAGTGGATAAAAGTCATCGTTTGACGTAAAGATCCTTCTCTTTTTGTATTATTTCAGATAACAAAAATTTACGTCAGTTCACTGACAACGGAAATATTCAAGGTGGACAAGTTCACCCTGTGCAATGCGTTGTCACACTCGTTCCCCATCGTGTAATATTCAGCGCGGTGTCTATTACAAACGTGGGGCTGCCTGACGTTTCACGTGACGCGACGCGCCGATATTTTCTTTCCTTTTTTTCGTTAGCTGAACGAGATACGCACCGGGGGCGGGGGGAGGCAAAGACGCATTACCAGATTGGCTCGGTGTTTGCATTCAGGGGGTCCTTTACATTCATGAAGCTTTTATTCGGTTGATTTGACTACGCGCTTCGTATTCGTGGCTCTCGATTTGATTTGCATTGATTGGAGTGGCCGGCTCTCCCGATAACGACCGTTTTTCTTCTGCGGCGATGCGGATTCCGCGAGCTCTCGCAGTTTGATTGTGCCACGGCGTTGTGTGAACGTATATGCAACATTTTCACGCAATGCTTTTAAAAAAGCGTACCTCGTCGACGAAATCGCAATTTGACTGCAAATCTTAAATAAACGACAATTGCCAATAAAAATTTATCGCGTAAAAAATTAATTCGTAAATGTTAATTATCCGGAATTATGTAAGTACATTAAGAGAAGAAAACGATTAACTATTATGTAACAAAATATAAATATATAAGATTCTATAAAAATATCTAAAAATAGAAATAACATTGTATAGAAAAAGAGAAATATTTTGCATCTATGATTGCATATTTATTTTGCACGTAGTTCGAAATTTATTGCTAATAATTTAAAGAGAATTATATAATGTGCATAACAGCACATATTGCATACAAATTAAATATTAATTAAATATTAGTTTCATATAACATTGAAGTCTGCAACATTAATGTAAATATTAAGCAATTATAAACATTGTGTTGCAATACGATATTATTCGCGTAATGCACTCATAATCCATAAAATCCACTTTTATCTCAAATGAATTCCATCATCCACAGTATTTGCGAACATCTTAAAATATCAATTACATATTAATTATATGTAAGTAATTCTGTATTCAAAAAATAATGTGGATAATAAGTGATTAAACATTGTCAGAATGCAGCGTAAGCATTATTCGCATATAATAACGCAAAACTTCGTTTTACCAAATAATAAACTCTGAAGTGAATAAACTCCGCTACTTACTGTATCACAATGCGTTCCTCATCGGACGCCTTATAACAAACGTCGCGATAGGTACACGCGGCACTCCACCATTCCAATTTCGTCCTCTTCCACGACAACGGCGGGCATTGTGTCCGCGTCAACGGCAGAACGATGATTAATCGATCGACCGCTACGGATATATCGCTCTCTCTCTCTCTCTCTCTCTCTTTCTCCTCGCGCGCGGCTATCACGGTCGGACGAAAAAGACGCCGAAGAATAAGGCGCGTAATACCACGGGGCGCAACCGCCTCCATTAATAAAAATCATATTGCTATCAAGTCGAAAATATTTACACTATCGCGCGAACAACGGTGGACTGCTCCCTTTCCGAGGATCACCGCGGACTCTGATCCTAGCCGAGCGCGGTCCCGCGAGAAAGACGGGCCGCGGTGAAAAATCGAGGAAACCGCGACCATCTTCTAATCGTCGCGGAATGAGTCCACACATTTTTCCCCCTCTCGCTCCTTTTTTCTCGAAAGGGCCACCTGGGAATTTCCCAGATTAAATTGATTTGTACGCGTACTTTGCGCGCCGCGACCCGATGATCCGCCGCCACCGCCGCCGCCGTGACCGCATCATTCATCTCGCCGGTGTACTATTAGTACTGTTATTTATGATGAAAAAGAAAGCGTAGATACCGCGAGCGGCACCCATTATGTATCGAGATCGGGTCGCGCCAGGTGATTTATGCCGACGGTGCAAATTGCCGCTTGTCCTTTGTAAGACCGAAGTGAAACGTCGCCGATTAAATCCCGCGCCCGCGTCGATCGTGATTTAGCGAAGTTTAGGAGGGCCCGGCCCTCCGCCGCCTCGTGATTGCGAAATGAGCGATCACGAGATTACGCTAAGTTTATGCGTGCGAAAAATACAGGCGTGGCTGTGGCCCAGCTCCGTATTGATAGTTTCTGCGGCCGAGATACGTTGCGATTATCTCTAAACTTAATTAAATTACTCGACAGAGATTAAGATAATACGACGTATATCAAATGAACGAACGTGAGTACTACGCGAGGACCTGTTTCATTTTATCTCCCTTCTGATCAATATTGATTCTTTAAAAATAATCCAAGAACACGATTGTTGCTGAAGAAAACAAGATAGATCTTGAAACTGGCTCTTTTCTCCTTCTAAATTAATATATCCGAGTGATTAAATTCTCTCCGATTTTTCTTCGAAACACAACTCTTTAATTCTTACGTTTTAAAACAAACATTTTGCAAAAAAAAAAACAATTAACATACTTTACCCTTATCATCCAACGTCTCAAAGTCACCCAACGCAGGATACGTTCGTAGTCTCAACAAGTTGTGTTCGGTCTGCAGCTCCAGCAGCTCGACGTAATTGTCCTGCAGCTTCCTAATCAAATCGGATCGCTGTTTCAGCAAATGCATCTTTCGTTCCGTGTGCTCTCGCTGCCTCGTCTCCTGCGTGATGTCGCGCTGATATTCCAGCTTCCATCTCACCACGTTCATCTCCGTGACGATACGATCGAGCTCGGCATTCTTTTTCTTCGCGCGGGTGACTTTCTGCCGAAGGTGGTCCAGTTTGCTCACCTCCTTCGACAACGCTTTCTCCAAAACTTCCTTCGTGCTTTCGATTTTTCTCTCGAGACGCACCGCGGTTTTATCATCGCGCAGACCCTTCGCCCTCTTCTTCAAGTAGGCTCGTATGTCGCGAGTGGCCATGATGTTCTTCACGAAGCAGAGATCCTCCTTCAGCTCCTTGAAGCGCATCTTCAGGCAACTGTGCTCCCACTCAATCGACAGTGTTCCGTTGCGGAAGTCAATTAGACGTTTCAGAGCGTTCAATTTACGCGCTCCTGCGGCGAGGATGTGCTCGTTGACCTCTTCGATTTCGCTGCGCGGCACCAAGACGGCGTCCATCGTGTCCTGCCGTTCACCTCGCAGCTCCAGCTCCACCTGGCCTCTTTTCAACACGAACTGCATCTCGGTATCCTGCTCGCGTATTATCCGCTCATCTCTCGCGCTCCTCAATCGGTCCCGCAGAAGACTCGCGCTCGACTTGCACTTGTCGATTTTATCCTCGAACACGGCGATTGTTCGCTCCACGGCGGCTATCTCCAGTTGTCGAGCTCTGATCCTGAGTTCCACGACGATCTTCTGACGACGCAGTTGAATCAGGTGATCCCAGCAACTCGCGTCGATCGATTGCAGCAGTTCGTTGGGTCTCGCGTCGAGACTCTCGAGGATCTTTGAGTAATCTACACATTCGGTCGGTAAATAAGTCGGACTGGTGTCGCTTGTGAGATATTTCGCGAGATTTACGAGATCGCTGGCGGCGACGTTCTTCAGGGACATCTTCGGTCTTCGTTTGTACTCTTGCATAAGCAGCTTGACGTTCGTCTTCGACAATGCGGCGAATTCCGGTTGCAATCTCTTTATTATCGCCTTCTCGCGAGCGCAGAGATCGTCGTGTTGCGCGAGCATGTTCTCGTAAACGTCGTGCAGCTTCCGCAGATGCTCCTCCAGCACGCTCTCGTATTCGCGCTTTTTGGACATCTCTTGTTTCGCTCTGTCGTCCTCTCTCACCCCCTCGACTCGCGCCAGATTTCGTATACGGCCACGTATGTGTCGCAGCTTCAACTGATTTATCGCCGCTTCGATTTTCAACTTCAGCTATAAAGCAAACAACGCTGTTCTGAAGACTGTGACAAATTCATCACGTTTATTAAGAGAAAAATTAATACAGTTCTTAATGAGTTAATAATTAGAATACGATCAGAATTGATTAAAAAGACACCTGAAAAAATTCATTCAGCTTTGCGTCAAATTTGTCGATGCCGTCCTGCAGAAGTCCGTTAATCTTCGCATATTCTGCCTCGAGTATCCTTTTATAACGTTCGCGCTCCTGTCGGAGAATCTCCACGTTCGCCTCGTACTTCTTCACGGCCGCGATGTCGCTGGGCGTGTATTGTTCCGACTGTTTCTCCAGCATACACGCGGGCTTACGTACTTCGATCTTGATAACGTCCTCCCATCGAATCTCCAACACGCCGTCCATCATCTTTATCAAGGCGCGTTCGCGAAAATCGTCGACTAACAACAACTGCTTCATTCGTTCCGCTTTCGCCGCTTGCCTGTTTAGAATTTCTTGCTGCGACGGCGACACATACGGCCTCGCCTTGACCTCGTCGTCGGACACTTGAATAATGCTCTCTACATTCTCCTAATCGATATCGTTTGCATAACATATTTAGTCGCCGTTATTCGCAACTATAGCGCTATGCTAAGCAAGAATTTATATTACATTATGCGTAGAAAAAATAGTTATTTTAATCACAAGCAGATGTCATAAATTTCGTTAAGCGTTTGACGTCTATGTGAGCATTTAAAAGAAATTCATTATAAGTATATAAAAATAACAGATTTTTATATACTTATAATTTTTATAAATTTTATATGTTGCGTATTTACTCATTTCGTCTTCCATTTCGCAAAAATTATCACAAGTAAAGTGCAGTTTATATATTTTTAGCTTCCATCTTGAAAATTATGATATACGTACGTGTATTCTCTCGTGAAAGAAATTATTTTAATATCTCTAACTTGCTCGTATAAGAAGATTGATTCACGTTCCTCCCGCAATAATTCAATTAAGGTCACGGCTTCTGAGGCTTGGTATAGAAAACAGCGTTTATATCTCGTATTTACCTTGGGATGCCACTGCGGATCAACGGGGACCTGCGGCACGCTCTCGGCGAACATTATCCTCAGCTCGGAGTCTATATGACGTATCTTCTCGTTTCTCTCACGTATCACGCTCATTTCCTGCTCCTTCGCCGCGTACATGTCGTCGAAGAGTTTGTTGAAGTGAGCTTGGAGCTTGGTGCAGTCGTGCATCAGATAACGATCGTCCAGCGTCACGTGCGCGAACCCGTAAGACTCCATCTGCGAGTAATAGTAAGGCGATTGCTCGACGAACCGATGCGTCGTCATGCCTGCGGACGAACGCCGGACGATTAGCGAGACTTAATCGAGCGAAATTGGAAATTACAAGTCTCACGGCTTCGTACAACATTGGAATTTAACCTTTGCGATCAATTTAAATCTTTCATTTTAATCCCCGCAGGTGATATTTCATTCTCTGAGAAAATGGAAATGTTGCGAAATTTAAAGCAACTTCGCAAGCGCCTGTTATATTTCCCCAAATGCATTTTTAAATCGAGATGTGTTTGAAGAATTTCTTAAACTTGTATAAAGACATTCTCTATTTAAAAGTTTTTTTTTCAATTTTTTAAGCATGCGAAACAATAATTTCTTGCAAAATATAATGTAAAAATGTTAAAATATTAAAAGTTGCGGTCCAGTGCATTTGAGCGCTCCAATAAATCGAAAGATAAAAATCATTACCATCGAATATCCTCAGTTCCGCCAGCTCGTCTGGATCGATCTCACGTTCCTCTTCTTCGAAGAACACGTCCATTTTGCGTCTGTCGTCCTCGTGATATACCGTAACAAGCTTGTTCAGCGCCGTCTGAAGCTCCTCGTCTGTGTAAATGCGCCACGGCTGGAAGGTATCGCCGTCGATGATGCCGCTCATTGACTCTCTGCTGAACTGCGCCCAGCGCAGGTGATCCTTGAAGTACGGCTCCTCCTCGGTCAGCGGATAATTCGTTATCTCCGTGTCGCCGTGAAACGAGAATATCGAGCGACCCAATACGATCTGCGTATCCCAGTAAGTTCTCTTAATCCAGTCGGCCACGCTTCCCATCGACGCGCAGAGATACTCCAGCTTCGCGCGAACTTCCTCGCGCTCATTCTCGGCCGCCTTCAGCTTCGCTTCGCGACTCGTCAAGTTTAGATCAAATGCCGATATCGGCAGCCTCTCTATCTCCGGACGCGTCTCATTGGCGTCGAGCAGTTGCTTCACAGTAGCTTTCAAAACTGCCAGGTCTTTTGCAATGGCGGCTTTCTCCGCGGCATAGAGCATCGTCTCTTTCTTCAGCTGTTCGTTCTGCTGCCACTCCTTCCAGGTCTTGTTTTCGCCGGCTGCTGGGAATTTTTCTTTGACTCGAGTCAGCGAGGCACGAATCACCGGGTCCAGGGAAGCGTAATCGGAGAGTATCTTCTCCTTTTGCTTCTCGTACAAGTCGTCCACCGGATAGACACTTTCAGTTCCGATCGCCGATCCTTCGTTCTCCTGTACTAGAGACAAAAATTGTCACTGTTTTGCGAGAACAAAAGAGAAAAGTGCATATACTGCGGCTATTGATGCAAACCTTTTTACTCGTATGACGAATGCACACGAGAGAACCGTCGTGACCAAGAGCGACTATCGCGTCACCCTCAGGATTAACGATCGCCTTCCTGCTGCCCGAGTCGAGTCTATGATGCGCCGGTATCGCGGCGACAATCTGCCACGCCGTTTTGTCACGGACAACAATCAGTCCGTCATAAGCGCACGTTACAATCCAGCGTCGATCGGCGAAGACGCGGGCGAGGCGAACGTGATGACCGGTAAGCGCCACGTCCGTCAAGGTCACGTCCTTGAAATCGCGCTGCAGCTTCAGCACGTGCAGTCGCCGCTCGAGATAAGGTGTGCCGATCAGCAGTCGCGGATTATCATTGGGCGCGTGACATAATTCGTAGAAGAGCGCGGGCAGCGTCACGGCGCCGCCGGCCTCGTCGACGATCGTACGATCGTGCGACACGTCGTACACGAGAAACTGCTGACCCACTGACGAGAAATGCTCGTACTTCGCTTGAAGCGCGAGTACTCTCACGCTCCCACGCGTCTCCTCGTCCTCGTCGTACAGCATCACGTCGGCGAGACGCTTCCTCGCTCGCAGCCGGGCCATCACGCTCCACGGTCCGTCGCGCCGCAGGCTTATGCAATAACAGTCGCCCGTCTCCTTCTGCGCGGCGATCAGGTATCTGCAACATAAATCGACCATCGATCGGTGTATAATCCGTCGAAATGGCGCGCATTTATCTCGCTCGAGACTAAATACGCTCGGCGGCGATATATTTAGATCCGCGCGGAAGAGGTATTTGTTACTCTCTATGGGAACGGAACGTGGAAAATCGACGGTCATGCCGATATAATAGAAAATCACGTTCGCGAAATGAACGATACTGCAGCAGAATTCTCACGTGTTTCAACTCTATTTATTCGCCGCGCCCGTTAGAATAGCAGATAATCATCAATGATTCTATGTTTAATTTGTGATAGCATTATCGTGACCAATACTTTATCTTACTTCTGTTGAAAATTATATTTAACGTTTAATCAATTAAAAAAAAAGGCAATCCACAAACTAAAAAAATCTTGAATATAAATTATTACCGTTAATGTTAATTATTATTATTTATTTTGATATTTTAAAATAATTAAAATTAATAAAAATTATTTCAAACTTACTTGCCGGAGCGAGAAAATTTTACGAGATCCAAGGGCTCTTGCTGAAGACGAAAGTGCGCAAGTATCGTTGGTTGCTCCGGATCGGTGACACCCAGGACTATCATTTCACCCTGATCGCTAACAACGACGATCATCGGATCTGCCGGATGTGTAGCCTGAGCCGATATAACGCCCTCGATATCGAATTCCACTTTGGAGACCTCGCTGCCGTTGTAGCTCTCGAGAACGGTCAGCTCCTTGAGATCGTCCGTCACCGCGAGATGATGGCACCAAGGATGCAGGAAATCAACGAAGTGATATCTGCCGCCAGAATGCAAATGCCTGTAGATCACCAACGTGGTGCCTTTGTTCTCTCTGAAGGCAATCTGCATCAAGTGGCCCTCGAGAGTGTAATAAAAGAGCCAATCATTCTTGAAGGGATGCGTGACCAAGATGTGAGGCTTGTAGACCGACTTGACGTACCATTGCTTGCACCAGACGTTGGTCTTCGGCTCTCTCTCGAAATAGCGGATTTGACAGAAGGTCGTCCTGAGAATAATCCCACCGCGAAACCAGCATACGGCCGGCAGCTCGATGTCTACGCAAATTCCGCAGCGTTGCGAGACGACGATGCGACGAACCTCAGTGCCGTCGTAATTGCTCAAATATATGTGACCGTCCAAATCGACGATAGCCAATAAAGGATCGTTCGGTACGGGACACCAATCGATTCCATGAATCTTGGCTTCCCTCGGCAACTTCACTTCGTGATCTGTGTGCGGTAGAAATATATTTTACAATCTTTAATAATAATTTATGATACTTTATAAATTCTTCAACTATAATTTTATTCTTGAAATATTTTGTTCGATCAAATTTTGAAACAAAAATATAAATAAAACCACATGCCTTTTAAAATGACAATCTTGCCGGCAACATCGAGTTCCCAGATAAGCAATTTTCCACAAGTCTTTCCCATTTGACCGATCACAGTGCGTCCCATTGGAGTTATTCTAATTATCTGACCGACCTCGTCGCGTATAGGCGTGTTCACGATCGCAATCTTCTCGCCGGTTCTCCAAAACCATATAATCATGGGGAAATCCGGATACGAGCCTAACGACACGAGATAATCATGAGACGTGAACGCGATTGCCAAATAACCGCTGGGGCATCCTTGGACACACTCGCAAATCTTCGTCATCGTGGGATACGCGAGGATAAAAATGCGCGGATTCAGAGATCTTTCGGAGAAGGCGAAAATCGGCGAGGACACGTGACCCGATATGCAGTGAGCACCGTCTCCGGTTGCGTTGTTCCAGCACCAACGCAGTGTCTGTTGCTTCTTGATAACGTGAAAGAACACGATGTATAAGCCGCTGCACCAGGCGAGCACTTCCTTGCCGATCCAAACTATTTCTTCGATCCTGCCGCCTCGCACCCAGCAAGGTGTTCTAATATTTTGATCCATCTTATGCGCTAGTTTCTCGTAACGTTTATGGTTATGAAAAATAACCTAGAAGAGCTTACAATCACCTAGATAAAAAAGAAACAAGTTACATACGAATCGAATAAATAATAACGGATCTTGATAAGCCGATGATTATAATTGTCATAATGTGAAATTAATAAATTGTCTGTACATTGATACACAATAATTTCAATAAATATTAGGAAATGTAAAAAAAAAAAAGGATATTTAAGAATCAAACTCTTTAAGAAAGAATTCTTTTACTTTCTGATTTTCCCTCTTATATCGATAAAAAATAGAATAATCTAATTGTTACCTTCTTTTCATCTGAGAAATATAGAAGCAAATCTCGTGTTTTCCAACTATTTTTTTATATTAAGTTTAATGTGAGTTTCTGTCTTATATTGTTCTTTTTTGTTAACTCTTAATTTTTTAACTCATATCTATTTTTGACCAAATTTTGAAGACACATTATTCAACGCCGCTGCGTCGACTGAACGGCCGACAAACTTCTTATGCCCTCGGCAATGTTCGAGACTAATTTCCTATGGGGTTAAAAGTTTCTATTGTTCCTCTATTGCGAGAGCAACAACGTAAAAATCTGAAAATTTATAGGTCGCTTAACATTGTATATTGAGTTAAAGCTACTTTTCATATTAAGAAAATAACTCGGACAATTAAATTTAGTGTCAAATATTAGATAGAAATTGCAAGTATTGAATATCGCATTTGACAATAATTTATTCAATAAAAAATTTGTCTTTTTAAATTAAAGTGTAATTTAATTAACATTAATGAAGTATAGCATTAACTTCTTATGTTGTAAAACAGTAATAAAATATTTTATACGAAATTGACGAAAGATCTGCTTCCACACAACATGTCGGTAGCAGACAACGTCTTTTAAAAGCGATGGAAAATATGACGTTCATTCATTCGGTCAACATATTACTAACGAGGAGCCTGAGAGCATTCAACCGAGAATTAACTGTTTAACTGTTGCGCCGCTATTGTCTCTGTTCAATTCAGCCAGTGACAACTATTCTCCAGCAACATCCTTCATGTTTATTATCTAACTGTACCTCAAAGCGTTCTGACGGAAGATAGATTTATCCCCATTGAAACAAGGCATTCACACTTTATCGATTCAGCTCAATAAAGCAGCACTCGAGAAGCAAAAGAATATAATTAAAAATCTATTTTTTACTTCAAGAGAACTTAGAGATACAGAGTCATAAATACTTTTTATGCATGGACACAAATATAATTAGATTAAAATTTAAATTAACACTGATATCTATTTAAATAATTTTGCCCTATAAAAATATATAT